CTTGGGAGGGCTCCCTTAAAAAATGGATTCTTCCATAAAATAAAAATCAATATAAAGGGTCGGTATCTATGCATGATATTTTAAAAACTAATTATGAATTATGAAGGTGTGAAATAACTTTAACGCTTATATTATAAAATTTAAATATACAGGGTGTGGAAAAAAGGTAGGTCATAAATGGGACCACATATTCTGGACTTAAACATAACTTACCTTAATGCAAATGTGCACACAAAAAAGGTACAGCCCTTGGAAAGTAGAAAATGAAAATCGATTTTTCCAATATGTCATGAACTGTTTAAAAATGGATACATGGCTTTTTACCAGTGGCGTCCGTACGGGTTTCGTTTTGAATATTTTTGCAGAAAAAAATAGTACGCCATTGCTTCATCTGAAAATACCATCCAGTTTTGAAATCCTTATTGATTTTTAAGCAAATTTAGATCTCTAGAGTTTTTTTCGTCTGACACTTAGTTTTCGCTAACAAAAATAAAAACTGTTTTATTTCAAGGTAAAATTGCTAAACACCAGGGTGCACTGCTGTACAATGCCAATACATTCATGGCAAGCCTTGCAAAACAACCGAGCGGTTTCCACGGTATCGGAATCAGTCATCACAGTTGATTTTAAAAACATATAATGGTTTTTGTCATTTAAAAATATATGTATGCAATAATTTATTGTCTATTATTGTGTTCAAAATGTACGAATATACCAATGCAAAAATGGTATACATTCATTTCGTCTACGAATACATCAAGCGCTATTTCCTCAACGGGTGGTTCCAAATTTTCATTAATATTCACGCAAGACTTTGTGAAACTGGCAGCTTTAATATTCTAAGAGTTAATTCGAACAGTTAAATTTGAAAAAGCTGTGTTAAATAGAATTGAAGTAGAACCGCAAACAAGTACACGCAAAATTGCTCTTGAATTAAATATTACACATATAATTGCGACAAATTTTAAAATCTCAGCAACTTTATCCTTATCATAAGCAACTTGTACAGGCATTATTACCCAAAGATTTTCCTGTCAGAGTAGATTTCTGCGAAATAAATCAATAACAAACCTGGGTTTCTTCGGCCATGTACTTGTTACAACCGAAGCTTCTTTTTCTCGAAACGCCATCATGAATTTCCACAACAATCATATTTGGGCTGAGTATAATCACAATGCTATTATAGAAAATAATTTCCAACATCGTTTTTTCTAAATATTTGGGTCGAAATTATCGGGGATCACTTTATTGGATTGGACCTTGCATTCTTCCACAAAGGCTAAATGGCGAAGAGTACAGAAGATTTTTGGAGCACGAGCTTCCTGAATATTTAGAAGAAGTTGATTTGGCTACCAAAAACAGGATGTGGTTCATGCAAGATGGCGCACCGACACACTTTAATTTGGTTGCACGTCAATTTCTGGACGAGAATTAGCCTAATCGTTGGATAGGAAGAGCGTAACCGCAAGTTTGGCCTCCCAGATCACCAGATTTAAAACCTCTCGATGTTTTTCTGTCACGTGACTTAAAGACAAGTTTACAAAACATCAGTCCAAAATGAGCAACATCTAAGAAATAGGATATTTGAATCGTGTGTCATTATTAATCGGACACCAGGTATATTCGAAAGAGTACGTCAATCCATGTTAAGGTAAATTTACACATGCGTTGTAGCTGGCGGTGGGCATTTTCAACAATTATTGTAAATGTTATTAACTTATTTGTAAAAGTAGTTTAGTCTTAGTCTTGTAAATAATCTAAATTTATTACATACCAATATTGATCAATAAAATATACATTTTTCACTTGTTCGATGCAGAAAACTATGCGTCAATATCATGAAGTGACGTAACTCGAAAAATTAAAAATTGAGATAAGTCACATATTGTGTGAAAAAGTATGCTCTACAATTTCACGAAATTGCGCATCTCAAGTCATAACATTTATTAAAGCAGCACATATCTAACCATGTGTATCTGATAATTTTACGAAGAGACGTATCTTTATAAAAAAACTTTAAAACGCTCTCTTGTAAAGTTGTGAAAATCAAGTTACGTCACTTCGTGATTTCAAAAATAATTGTTATACAAAACCCGTATGGACACGACTTGTAAATATAATAAAATTGTATATAAAAAAAATGTATAGTAAACGTGTACCAAATTTCGTAAAGATATCTACAATAGTCTCAGAGGTATTAAAAAAAAATAAAAATTTTTTCTGAAAACTTTACCAACCTGTAGCTTAAAAGTTAAGAGGTTCATATAAACTTTTTGTCTTAAAATTAGTCAAAAATTCACCATTTAAAATGGTACAAGTACTTAATGAACACCCCGTATATCTTGATCCATGCAAAAACGTAGCCACGTTTTACCTTGCTATAGTAGGGTGTACTTAAAATCTGATGCACCTTTACCTTAGTATTATTGGGTTTAAGCCTCCTCCCCTTTCCCCATCAATGTTTGAGGGTGCTGAACACGTATTTCCGAGATAAAAGTTATAGGCAAAAACATTTAAAAAAGTAACTCTTTTACTCCCCCGAAAAAATTGGAGGTGTCGAAATTCAGATTAGTGTTCAACAACCTCGAAAATAGCATATAAACCACTTAAAAATTCTTTCCCATTTTATGCAGTTGCTTCTGCTTTGAGTCGCCGTATTGCCTTGGGTATTGCAAGTTACCTCGCACTAGATAACAATTTTATTTTTCAGAAAAGAAAACTTGTATTTCATGCAAAAACCTTTTAGTTAAAAAAGGCAAAGCGCTTTATTGTCGGTCAGAGGACTTCAAATTATATTAATCGATATCAGGGCAGGATGCTTCCGTGGTCAGTTTTCGTCAGTCACGCGTATGACGTCACTTGCAGAGCGATAGAATGATTTTTTTTGCGCGTCAAAATAAGGAGCGTCCACGATGCTCAACATCCTATAGGCCGGATGCTATGGCATCACTCACAGAGTGATTTTCTTTTGCACGTCAAAATAGGGATCAACCACAATGCGCAACATCCTATCTTTAGGTGGGTATATTGTGCACCAAACATTAAATGTTGTTAAATCATCATTATTATTTTGTTTAAAATTATTTTTGGTTTATTTTCTATAAATCAAAATTTTTCACCCACTTTATTAAGCCATTTTTATTAAGTCTTTAATTTATTTTTTCTTGTTTTTTCTTTTTTCTCTATTCTTTTTACTTTCCTATCTGTATACAGATATAAGGAAAGTATAGGAATCATGATTTTTTTCGACCTCGAGTTTTCGACGGATTTTTACGTTTTGAGGTCCCCTGAATCCGTTTTGACTATTTTCGCGATGATGTCTGTGTGTGTGTGTCTGTGTATGTGTCTGTGTGTCGCATAACTCATGAACCGATACACAGAAAAACACCAAATTTTAAACTTAAGCTTTGTTTCAACGTCCAATGAGCTAATTAGATTTTGGGCAGAGTCGGAACATCTGGGGGGGTACTTTATAGTAGGTCATTTTCATATTTTATGGAATATATCTGTTATTTACGTTTGGGGAAGAAAATTCTTCAAATAAAAGTTACTTCTTATATTATTATCTATAGTTTATATTCCATACAAAATTTTCCTAAAATGTTCCGTATTCGAGAAATTTGACAAAATGTAAAAAAATATTTTTTTATAAAAATTATTCAAACAAAAGTTGTTTGTAATATAATTCTCTATAATTTTTATCCTATACATAATTTCTCTAAAATGAACCGTATTCGAGATATTTGAGAAAATGTGTAAATTTCGAAATTTGAAGAAAACTCAAAAACGGATAAAGAAAAGTTTTATTTCGGCCTGACGTGAAATGATTAGATTTTGGACAAAGTCGGAACATCGGGGGGGTACTTTATGGGAGGCCGTTTTCATATTTTATGGAATATGTCTGTTATTTATGTTTGGAGAAAAAAATTGTTTTATGTAAAAATTTCCTGAAATGGTCCGTATTCGAGAAATTTGACAAAATGTGCAAAATTCTGATTTTTATGAAAATTGTTGAAATAAAAGTTGTTTGCGATATTGATCTCTATAATTTTTGTTCATACATGATTTTTCTAAAATAGACCGTAATAGAAAAATTGTAGGAAAAGTGCTAAATTTAAATTTTTCAGTATTTTCGTTTTCAATGAATATCTATAGAAAAATGTTTCGAGGTAGATGTATGTGGAAAATATATATATATTTAGTTTATCCTCCTCTAAACATTTATAGAGGTGCTGCAATAGGTTTTACAAAATAACCAGAAAAAGCCTGTTATAACTAGATAGGAAAGTCATGTGTTGGACACATCAGATTTTTTTTTTAATGAAAATAACTTAATAATGTGGGTGAAATACTTTATTTCATAACAAATAAATCAAAAATAATTTTATACAAAATAATATGGATGATTTAGTAAAGTGGGACCCTTTAACATTTAATGTTTGGATACACGATGACGATATTGGAATTCCTTTCATCAAAAATAAACAATGAAGATGGGGCATAACGCCGACAGCGCGTTTCATTTTTTAAATAAAATAATTTTTGCTGTGTCTTTTATATCCAAAGTCGACTACTTTTCATTACTTTTTCGGACATGTCCATCGGACTAGTCCAAAAATTACTTCTCGTGAAAAGTCCCATCACAGTTAATTTCACTAATTGTGTCTTGATCAATTATTCCATCAGGGCTTGCACTTGAAGAAGAAGGATATTCTTTTGTGCACATTCAAAAAAGGGCACCGGGTCGCACCTTGAATTGAAACTCAGGATCTTTGTCACAATAGTCTTGTCATGCAGAAATGTGCTAAAAGCAAATTGATATTGGCCGTGAGTGCTGATAGGAAATGCAATTAGTGTTTAATTAGTAATTCATAAATATTATTATAATAAAAAAAAAACTGTTATATTAATATAAGATAGTCGCAGATAAAAATAATTCCCGTTTTAAAATCCCTTGTGTTAAAACTGGTTTTTAATGTCTGTTTTTTTACACATTTTAGACACACGGACATCATAGAATAAAAATGACTTTAATTTGCCCATACTTTATCAACACTGGTATGTTCGATGGATGCAAACCAAGGAATTTACCCATGTTGGAAGCAAAAGACGTTGCGAGAAGAATAATTAAAGCAATAAAACGCGAAGAAGTTTTCGTAACACTACCAGGATTCGCCAGATACACTTTGCCACTTAAAAAGTGAGTATTTTTTTAACGAATAAGAATTTAAATTATTTCTTATATCCAATTGGTAGCTCTTTGTCTACACTGTACGAAAAAGGTACGTGAAGTTAATAAAAAAATGTATATTGAATCAAATAGCAAAAACATTCACCGTTTTAAACCAATGAACCAGAAAACACTTCGGTTCTAGATACTGAAGATTAAATTAAGCTAAACAATTAGGTGGGGAACGAAAGTGGCCCGAAATATGTGTCTTCCAAATGAGACTAATAGAGGATCAATGAGGGTGACTAATTATAAAAGTTGGAGTTTATTTTAATTTCTTGAAGTTCCTTGATTTTACTCTTTGCATTACTAAAGTTCGTTCATGTAGTTTACACCTTAAGTACAGAAATAAGCTGTATTACTTATTCTTATAATATAGCAATAAGTCTTCACCTTGCGTGCATATTGTTACGCTAGTAAAACTGAGCTGTGCCGTCAGGATCATCGACTTATATAGCTCCCTTGAACATTCTATAATCGTCCAAATCTTTCTTGACATGGAATGACATTTCTAGACATTTTTAGACTGTTCTCTCTTCTTCTCTTATTTGTATGTTTTCTATTACAGCCGCAGGCTACTGCAGGATGCAGGGTAATATTGCTCCCACCTCTCTTATTGTTTGTCCCGACTAACTTGATAACTAGGACCTAGTTGCAGCCAACGGGGAAGATCTAGACCATGGTATGGCTTTAGCTTTTCAGTGTGAACTATCTTAAGTTTACTACCCACTGACAACTAAATGCTATAGATCAGGTCGTTGATTTTCTTGAGGATGGTGTAAGGGCTTTCCCAGTTCCGTTTCAGTTTCTAACAAAGTCCTTTAGACGCTTGGGACTGTACAGTCATACTGGATCTCCTCTCTCAAAATGCGTCCCGGTGGCTTGTAGGTCGATTATAGCTTTTGCTTTATCGCTGTTGACTTTCAAACGTTTCCGAACGAATTCGCAAAGCTTTTCTAATCTTTCTCATAAGTTCTGTATGTACGTGGAAGGTGTACGGCCTTCTTTGCCAGTAGGTTGCCTTGCAAAAATAGAAGATCATGGGAAAACTTCATCTCTCAGTAATTATCATAGATGCAGTATATCTGGACGATTCATGTTCAGAACTTCGGTAGGATAGCGGAAATAGAAGAATTAAAGTGTCCCAGTCCTTCTGGTTTTTAGAGACGAACATTAAAAGATACTGGTATATGGTTCTATGGTGTCTTTCTACCATTCCGTCGGACTGTGGGTAGAAAAGCGTAGTGCATGTTTTCCGGATACCTAACAATTTAATCAATTCTTGCTATAATTAGAATTAAAAAATTTCGTCCTTGGTCAGAATGCAATTCCAGAGAGACTTGTTTCGCTATGGCGTTCGCCATGAATGCCTCTGCCACTGTCGTCGCTTCCATAGGCGCTATTTCGTGCCAATTTGAAAAATAGTCCATAACAACCATCGGGTATTTGTTTTTCCTCTCTGTTAAGGGAAAATATCCAAGGATATCTACGGCGATTCGTTCGAAAGGCTCTTCGAAAAGATACTATGCCAATTTACCTCGGCTTCTAGTTTCGTTTTCGTCACCCTCTGGCTTGATATTGGTTACCCGAAGACTAACTTTTTCAATTGGTTTCTCTCGTTCTTCGATCCTTTTACAGTCCCGACATTGTCGAACTTTCTGTTCTCATTCCTCGATTTTGGCTGTAACTTTGCATATTTTGCAGGATGTTAAAGATTTGTGAGAGAGTTGGGAAAAACATTTTTACTAATTTACCAATGTTTCTTATTGATAAGATAAACCTTTTGCGCTATATTCTTCTTTTTAAGCCTGATGATGATGAACTTGGGCTAAAAACGGTAGCCCTCTTTTACGTTTGATTTTAATAAAGAATATTGTGTGGTACCTACTGGTTTAGTGTATTTTTATTTTTAAATATTATGGTTTTAAATTGTCATTTCGCTAAATATAAAAAAGAAAATATTTATTATCTACATAATTATAACTATCGTTAAAACATTTATAATACATTGTTAAACTATTTTTAAAGATATGAAAAAAGAATAATTAGTCATTTTTAAGAATTAAAATCTTTGCCGAATAGTTCGTACCTTAATGTTGTTTTCTGTTTTTTATTTTAGTTATCTTCCTCCAAAACTGACTTGGGCGCTTATAATTAAGGTTATTCAAGGTCCGCAATCCATGAAGGGGATGAGATCTTTTAAAGAAGTTGAAGCTGCTTGAAACACATCGCTAACAAATATTTGTATTATTAGTTTTTAGGAATATTCTCATTTAATAAAGAGTTATTGCAAGTTCAAATAACGGCAGGCACTAAATAGTGCGATTCCATTTTGACACCTAAACATGCGCAGAAAATATAAATTATAATGGCAATTTCATTAAAGGTAGTAATTGTGGATATATAAGAACCGTAAATAGGTAGTAACCTTATAACCAGACAGCACAAATAGGTTCATTAGATATACAATTTTGGATGTCTGGATGTTCAAAAATTAGCATTACGTACCACCATTTTGTAGTTTTCGTCCTTCTTTAACTAATTTTCTAGTTCTTCCAGGTCAATTTCTGGCCTGACAGGATTCTTTTCGTGTAATTAATTTTTATTTACCTATTCAATGAACCGAGAACCTCTCATGCATCACGCGTGATCAAAAAATGTGTATGTCACTATTCTCTTCTAATAAGGTTGTGAATGTTTTTTGGCCTGCGCACTCAACATTAGTGTGTTTTGCTAGCGATTCATCAGATCGGCCTCTGGAAAAAATTCATACAGATATGTATATAAAAGTGTTTTTACATGTATTTGGTATTATTTTTTTCCTATAAGCTTTTAGAATGTTCTCAGAACATGAGGTAAATGTCGGGTATATGGCTGATAGTATCTTCTAAAAATATCCTGTTATAGCACGTGCTCAGTATATACTTTTTAGAATATACTTTTAAGGCACGTATTTGTGAAGATGAAGCTTAATGAAACTACGTGTTCACTTTCGTGTCTCTATCTAGAATGTTTATTTCATCCTTGTCAACTTTATAATCTGTCAGGTACCCACTGCTGTCAAATCATGTACAGTGTTACCACAGTATATATTTTTTAGAATATAATTTTAAAGCACCTACTCAGTATATACTTTCAAGGTATATACTAGGTATGTTCTAAAAACATTTTAGAAAGGACATACCAAGAAGAACATAAACAGAACGTTCACAGTATATTCATAGAACATTGTTGTTATGTGGGCTAGCTTTCTAAAATTAAATACCTACTCAATTTCTTCATCGTTGAATTCTGCTAAAATTCCAATTTCTAAATCTTCTTCCATAATTACTTTTGTATTTATTCCAAAAATCTATTCAGTGTTTTTTATAAAAAATAAGATTATAACTAATATCATGTCAAAATTCATCTTTTATTCCTAAATTGTATTTTAATGTCCGGTTAATTATCCACTAATTACATCAGCACTATTAGTGCCTGCAGTTATGTGAACTTGCAATATCTTTCTACTATGGGAAAGACTTCAATCAAACGTAAATATTTTAGTAATAATTATTTATTACGTAGGAAATTATTCTGACTATAAAAACTATGGGTAGGTATACCTAAAATAAAATAAGAACTATATAATTTGATTAAAATTATTTTTTGTAGTCTGTAAAAATACCCTTATCCCATGTGAATAAATTGATGTAATCAGTTCCCTAAAAGTAACATTAATAACTTCAGTAGAAGCTCTAAAACAATGTCACTGAGTCATTTCACTGAACTTACACGAAAGTTATCATTAAAATCATTAAATTGTACCCAGACAACACACCAAATCCCAGAGATATCCACAGAATATCTTTTGTGGATATCCAATATATCCACAGGATATTAGAAATATTCCGTGGATCTAATATGGATATCCAAATGTCCGTCTATATCCAGAATATAGAAGATATCCTATGGATATTCAGCAAAATATCTAATGAGTATCTTCCAGACAATACAAGAAATCCCAGAGATATCCACAGAATATATTTTGTGGATATCCAATATGGATATAGAATTCAGATATTCAGCAAAATATTTTATAGGTATCTTTAGTAGAGGTTCATAAGTAACCAATGATTATTGAATAACCTCGAAAGAAAATAGAGATAAAAATATTTCCAACAATCTGCCTTTAATTTTGCCCACTATAAGGGCACTAAGGAGAAAGTCATCCTTATTAGGACTCTTCAGCAATAAATGGAAATTCTCGACTCCAGTCTCTAATAGCAAAGAATACCTACCCAAGAAGCGAAACTAAATGGGCGATTCGTGGACAAAAAACTGCCAAGTTTTCTCAGTGCTTTAGAGGTGGTTTAACGTCAAATATAGCTGTCATTTATGAAGAGCAACGTTTGGTATAATATTATTAGCGTTTTGTGAAAATTGCAATATAGTTAAGTAGTTGTATTTAACTAAGTAGTAACTGGAAATTATAGTTTTAAAATTTGTATTACATAAAAAAAATACATTGTGTTACTCGTAAATTTTATTGAACGTTCATGCATCTGGCTGTCAAAGTTTTTTTCTTTTAATTTCTAAATAATAATAATGATAATTTACGCTTACGTATTATGCATCATTTAATTTCTTAGCCTTTTATTTAAATATGTAATTTTTTGGTTTTTTAAACTATTCGAATTAAAACAGTAAATAAGCAATATACAAAGCAATAAATAAAATATATGAAAACCTCACTTCGAGGATACAATTGAAATGCATTTAAAACTACGTACAGTACTTCTGGATATGTAACTTGTAGAGGGTGGGTTACCCCACGGCACTTAGGCCTCACTAGGCACATTGTGTATCCTACTAAAATGATAGGCACCTCCGAGCTCGTGAGCCAGCATACAAATTTAATGTAGTTGATAACGTCGCCAAGAGGTGCTTTTCTTATATCTGCCGGTGATAGGCAATACTCACCGAAAACAAATCTTCTAATAATTGAAAACGACTGGCAATCGTAGAGGATATGTTAAATGGTCTCATCTTTTTGTTCGCACCCCCTGCAGGGTGCGGATTCTGACATCCCTATGATGTAGAGATATTTTCATATTTGGAAATGACCAGTCAGAATGCTTGTAATCAGACGCAGATTCTGTATAGTCGTAATCAAGTATTTGTTTGTTATAGTGTTTGTCAGGATAACATGAAAGCTCCTTGGTAACTCAGCAGTTTCTTGTTTCATCCCATCTTTCCTTTAATTTCACAAGGGAATATTCTTTAATTAGGTCTGTCACTATCAATGTTGTCAGTTTAATAGAAGGGACAGGTCCAAAAAGTATTTGGTTGGCCGCCTTCTTAGATAGTGAATCAGCAATAAGGCTACCTTTCGATATAGCGTCTCACATTGTTGGATGGATACTCTTGCCAAAGTTTCGTGGCATTCTAGTACTAACTGAGTAAATTCGTAGCCTGTTCAGTGTAAGTAGTGTTTATCTGCTCTCTGTATAGATGAGCATGTTCCTACCAGTGATATTGTTTCTGATGATTTCTTTTGCTGCTATGAGAACCTTCGTGAACTACATTGGCACTATTGCTCACGGCCAATTTTATGTTGAGGTTTAAGAAATTGGAGTATATTCCACATCCTGAGCATTGTTTTGTTTTAGAACCGTCGTTGTAGATATGAATCGTACCTGCCATTTCCAGATCTTCTATTCGTTTTGTAATAACTTCATTTGGCTTATGGAAGATATATCTCGGTGAGATAAGGTTCATGTTAGCCTGAAGCAGTGGGAGCGTGCCAAAAGCGATGCCTCACCTCACCAGTTCGTACATCAAGTTCTATTCCAACTGTGCAGAGGCGTGTCATTGTCATCAAAACAACCTCCTTGATGTAAATATCAAGTGGCGTGAGACTAAGAACGACTTCCAACCAGAGCCATGGTTGGTGTGGTTTTCATGGCTGCTCTTATGTTGAGACATGCTATTATTTGAATTTGTTCTATTTTGGGGATAGCTGTCAATTTTTGGATTTTCGGTACCCAGACACCTGCACCGTATATTAGGATAGATCATGGCCATGTAAGTCCATGTGACGACTCTGGAGGAGAAACCCCAGGTGCGTCCCACGGTCCAGTGGAATTGTTTATAAGTAATGTATGCTCTTTTGAAGTGTGACTTGTTGTCAAAAATGCTATGTCTTCATCTCTGTTGCAAAGTTTTGTTTCGTGTTTAGGAGCTCTGTAGGTTTTAATTTTATTTTTATCCTTTTCTTTGTGAAAAGGATTATTTATGTCTTCTTGGGATTGATAGACAGTGAATGGTCCTTGCACCACTGTTGCATAATTGTTCTCAAAATTCCCTCTATTTGCAGAATGGCCAGATCATCTGCTTTCGCTATTGTTTATTATTATACTAAATTATTTCGTTATTAAAAAAATCTATTTGACATAATAGACATAGAATATTTTATCTGTCATTGTTACTTAAGTATGTGTTTAATTCTAATGAACCAAACGACAAAAATTGATTAATTTCCATACGTTTCCCAGTGTATTAAGTCCCCTTGCTTTGGTACATACGAAAACTCATTCAGTTTCGCTTCTTGGGTAGGTATTCTTTGCTAATAGAGTCTGATTGCCAAAAAAATTCGATCGAACTCATTTACGGCGGGTTGAGCATTAGTAGATACGAAAATGTTATCGCCATCTATACTTAGGAAGCAAAATTAAAAATTACATCTAGTAGATATCCACGATGGTTTGCGTCCGCGCTTAGACTTTGATATATTTATAGTGGATGTCCATGGGATATAGAATACACCTTAAAAAAATTAATTTTAAATATCTGAACGGTACTATTAGCCACAATGGCGAGCACAATGGCGTAATTTTTTATTAATTTGCTATATAATTACTATTATTTATGGACATTTGCATGTCTATAAATTACATTTCATGGATATAAAATAGATATCCACCATGGACTGGACATTCAGTGGATATTGGGATGTTCAGTAGATATCCAAAGGATTTGGTGGGCTGTCTGGGTATGTTTTCTTCAACCCTTCAACTAGACCATCCACGACAGTGACTGTCGAGATACCTAGAAGGAAGTTAGATATGCTGGCTCGGGCTAGATGGCGTTCAGACTCGTTTTCAATTCTTCAAATACCTATTTACAGCATCGGTGTGCATGGGAAATTTAGGCATACTAAACCCATATCTTCGTCTGCGTGAATTAAGTTTTCAATGTACATTAAGAGACGTAAATCTGAGTATCAAAATTGTGAATTTATTATATTGTAGAACGCAAATTGAAATCTAAAAAGGTAGAAATATCTGAAAGTTGCTGAATCATTTAAAAATTCAAAAACAAATCTCAGAAATCCACCTACGAATTATTAAGACCATCCCTAAACTCCAAAGGTGAAAACAAATACTTTGAAAAAA